AGAGCTCCGCTATGAACACCTATCCGATATGTCACTCTCCACTTTAGAATTAGATCTATCGGCGTTTTTTGCGCCTTATCGCGTTCTTATGTGTGAATAGAAGCCCTATGCGGTATAGTTTTCCCGCCGGCGCGAAAGCTATCTGATATAGTGCATGTAAGCGTTGCCTTAATCTCGGTGACATAGCCTTGTTAACACTAGTTGCTCTTTTTGGGAATTCCAGGAGAGTTACTGGAAAATGGTTGAAGAGGAATTTCCACGCTGGATGGCAAGAAATGAATCTAGCAGCAAAAAAGAACACAAGAAAAGCCGTTGATGCAGTTTGAAGCTCTTCAGTTTCTGATGACTCTGGTAAGCGAACAGCTTTCCTCAGCAACCTTGAAACTAATCGATTGCATTCCCGCTAAAACTCCTGAAATTGCATTTTCCTGTGGACATCAATCATTTATAGTGACGGCGGGATTTACTAACTGGTCGCCTTTTGTGGTAGAAGCTTAATTAGTTATCGAAAAGGGGAAAACGATGTAATTATTATAACTTGTTTTTAACTTATTTATGCTAATTTAGAGAACTTTTATACACTTGAAAATGACCTCGGAGAGGTCGAAACGTCGTGATTTTTTATCGCTAATATTTATCTCAAAATCGAGATTGAAGTATTTGTAATAATAGAACATGGCTGCAGGACTATGGGAGCAGTTTTTTCAAGTGAGACATTTAGTGAGCCGGGTATTCTGTAATATTTAAATTTTCAAGTAACTTCTGATTTTAAAAGCCAATGGAATGCCCAAGTTGCCCTCAAAGTATCCTAATATTGCTATATGTTGAATGACCACTTATTTGTTCACTAAATACAGCCTTGCAAAACGTGAGATGTTGCTAGTAGCCAGTGAGTCACTCGTCGGGGCACAACAAAAACAGCTACAGCTCACAGCTGATGACTTTCAGAGAATCAATGCAAGAAATGACCAGTTGGTTAAGGTATAAGACATATTCATGTACCTGTTGCAAAATATGGAAAAAATGTCCCACTTGCTTCTCCCATCTCCCTGGAAATTTTTAACCACTGAGGAATCGTGTGAAGACGGAAGAGGCAGGCTGCTAGAGGGGTCTTGGGGTAATCTATCCCAGAAAATTTTGAAATCTTCATGCTCTGTAACACCTGAGGGGAAAATTTTTGTCTAAAATGCTCACTAAATTTGAATGTCATTTTTATGCTTATCTTGGCGAACAAGTACTTGATTTTATTTTAAAGTTTGTGCATTTTTTTAAAAAGTTTTCTGGATCCTTTTCATTTAAGTATACTCTGTTAGGTGTTCTTGTATACATGTAAGTATCATCATAAGAATAATATTGATTTGCAAATATCAGATTATATGTCAAATTGGGATTTTCTTATTGCGATTGCATATTGCTCATGATTCAGGATTTTCAAGGAAAATTGGAATTCATTTGGGATGGTTCTAAAAACAGTTTGAATGTCTTATTATTTTTCTGTCATGGGAATTTATTATTCTGTACCTGCCTACACTTATACATTTTTGCTGTGAGGCACATGAATTCTGTTCTAAATTGAATGGACAAGTGAAATTTTGGGGGGCATTCAAATTTCAGAAGAACTGTAATCTATGCTCATCAAGAAATTTTGGGGGCTAGCTGAAATGACTCTTGGGCTACCTGCTTATTTGAATGGCTGCATTTTGAAAGTTTTTGTTGTCCTGTATCAGAAAATTGTCTAGGACTTTGTTTGCACAAATTTCCCATTATCCATGGAGGATAATCAGGAAAAACTATTTATTAAAAGAAAGGAAAGTACAATGTCTGCACTTAAACTAGAATTGCGGGTAGGGCCAAGCCTAGGTGAAATGTAGGTGTGTAATGTGGAAAGTAAAAATAATAGTGTAGCTGTCAATGGTTTTACTGATATTTCCATTATGGCTACTATGATAAAAGTGTCTTTTATATATTCATCTTACCAGGAGTTTGAGACTCTTCAGAGTGGATTGAAAAAGAAATCATCTATGTCATCATCATCTGGTGAAGCTGAATTTATTGGCCTTCAGGTGAGAGAAATGTTTGAGGCTGATTTTCAGAAGTGGTGAAGTGGTATTCAGAGTTGTAATTGAAGCTCTATAAAGAGTGCCTAAGACCCTTTGAAAATCAAAAATCAGAGTTGTATTATGCAGAATCATTAGCCCCACAGACTATAAGAAGAAGAGAATCAGAATGTCTCCATTTTCTCTCATTGTGCCCTTTGAGTCTCTGACTCATGAGAATAGCAGATTGTTTGTATCTCTTTAAGTATAACATGTGGAAAAGATTATTATTACTATTCATTCAAAATATTTCTCTGTTTCTTATTTGCTCAACTACGCTGGCTAATTCTTCAAAACATGCTAGTGTTGACCAAATTTGGAAGAGAATTATGATATCTGAAATGAGCCTAGGATGCAGGGTAGCTGGAGAATAAGGCAGTCATCAACCAAGAAGCCCTGGTGACTTCATTTTACTGTGGGCAACCCTTCAGAAGAGCAGGCCAGTCTGATCTTTGGGTGATTCCATTCATGTAAAGACTGTTGTTACACTTTACCGCATACCTTTTCATGCCGACACAAAAGACTGCCTGGTATAATATTATATAGATTTAGCCAGGGCTAAAAGCAAAGCTCTCGTTGATATACTTATAAACAAAAGAATAAATTGTGTAATGCTAAAAGGGGATGGTAATGAGAATGGCATCAAAATCAATAGATCTAATTAGCAAAAAAACAAATTTGCTTGTGTAGCTCTAATTAGCAAAAACAACAAATTTGCACATGTAGCACATTTTTCTGTACATTTCTTTGCCATTGTTGTCGACTAAAACGTGAAACTTCCTACTTACAAGTCATTTGTGTCAAGGAGGAATTGTCGTATGTACTCAACAAAAATTTTGTTGCTTGTGTTCCGTTCCCTTTTAATTTTTTCACTGCCGCTCATTTTCACCTTGCTGGCCGCTAGCATTTCTCATTTTCTCACCGCTGCCATGACATTTTCATGTTTTTCTTGCAATGAAATTCGTCTCCTTTGTTTGCAATCACTCACTCTAACTCTTTCTCTGTTTCACGTGAGTGTACACATCAAAAATAATGTCGAAGAAGACACGACTTTGTTGTTGTTTTTTCTCTCTAAAAGTCCTGGCGGTCATGCGTTTTCCTGCCAAATAAAACCTTGAGTTGCATTTGGGTTGCCATACCTGTTGTTTGAGTTTTTTTTACATTGGCGTGCCTGTGCTGCGGACGGATGGGCGGTCGGGCTGGTGGACGTATGGTCATGTGACTACCAAAGTTTCTCGGATGCATTGGTAACCGAGTTTTCTTACTCATTGTGCTCCACTGCGCGTGCTTCGCGCGCGAAAGAGCTCCGCTATGAACTACCTATCCGATATGTCACTCTCCACTTTAGAATTAGATCTATCGACGTTTTTCGCGCCTTATCGCGTTCTTATGTGTGAATAGAAGCCCTATGCGGTATAGTTTTCCCGCCGGCGCGAAAGCTATCTGATATAGTGCATCACGGTAAGCGTTGCCTTAATCTCGGTGACATAGCCTTGTTAACATTAGTTGCTCTTTTTGGGAATTCCAGGAGAGTTACTGGAAAATGGTTGAAGAGGAATTTCCACGCTGGATGGCAAGAAATGAATCTAGCAGCAAAAAAGAACACAAGAAAAGCCATTGATGCAGTTTGAAGCTCTTCAGTTTCTGATGACTCTGGTAAGCGAACAGCTTTCCTCAGCAACCTTGAAACTAATCGATTGCGTTCCCGCTAAAACTCCTGAAATTGCATTTTCCTGTGGACATCAATCATTTATAGTGACGGCGGGATTTACTAACTGGTCGCCTTTTGTGGTAGAAGCTTAATTAGTTATCGAAAAGGGGAAAACGATGTAANCTGGTAAGCGAACAGCTTTCCTCAGCAACCTTGAAACTAATCGATTGCGTTCCCGCTAAAACTCCTGAAATTGCATTTTCCTGTGGACATCAATCATTTATAGTGACGGCGGGATTTACTAACTGGTCGCCTTTTGTGGTAGAAGCTTAATTAGTTATCGAAAAGGGGAAAACGATGTAAGAGCACAACTGACTACTGTCCCTGGGAGCTCCGAAGATGGATGAGAGGCGACTGTATTCCCAGCCAGGCTGAGAACTACTGATTATTTGTTATTTCATGTATATATGCCCCTACTGTAGGCTCATGCTGTTCTCATCAACACGTCTCAGTATTGAGCTTACAAACACTGTTTATTAGACTGCTTGCAGTCCGCCTTTTCTCTTAAAATCCGTCTAGTTCTTGATCTCATCCAGCGCGATTGCAAACCGCGTGCTTAGGTTTTGCGTTTAGTAACTTTGCAAAGAGAAATAAGAGACTGCTCGCAGTCTACTGTTTATGGACATTTGAAGGACTTGAAGTACTGGCATGAACGCTATCAATCGTGGGAACAGTCGGAACACTGTCGTTAGGTTCGTCATTGAAGCTGTCTTATACCTTTCGAAATTTTACTTTATCTGCCTTGGTAGTAGCCTCTCACGCAGACGTTCTTAGGGGTTCGTCACGCGTTCCTGCCCCACGAACGTGTACTGACTTGAGCGAAAAAAAACGTTTGATGGGCAGGAACGCGCGACGAACCCCTAAGAACGTCTACGTGGGAGGGTTACCTAAGTTGGTAGGGGCTGTAAAATCTTTTTGGCTACATTTTTTGAATGTGTTTTTGGGTGTCCGGGTCGTTTCGCAACAAAGTCGTTTCGTAGCATAATGAAGTCGATTTGCCGCAAAAAATTTTTCGTTTCGCTCCATGCGAGAGTAAATTCCCATCATAATAAAAGTCTCTTCATACCTTGATTTATGTTGTTGATATTTTTTGTTGGAATCCTTTTTCCAAAATCTTCGTCCCGAAATCGCACACTATACGGGTAAGAAACAAACCCAATGGCTACCAACTTAACTTAAATCATGACCAACAA